CACCCACTCCGGGGCAGAGAGTTCCACTGCTGAACGGCTCTCACAGTCAGGAAGTTCTTCCTCATGTTCAGATGGAATCTCCTTTCTTGTAGTTTGAAGCCATTGTTCCGCGTCCTAGTCTCCAGGGAAGCAGAAAACAAGCTTGCTCCCTCCTCCCTGTGACTTCCTCTCACATATTTATACATGGCTATCATATCTTCTAGAAGCTCTCCCGAAAAAAGATTTACAACTTAGCCAACTTAGCTAAATCGCTCTCTGTGAGAAAGATTTACATCTGAGCCAAACTGTTCCCCAGAGAAGATTTACAACTGAGTTTAATTGCTCTTCGTGAGTAAGATTCGCGGGAGGGGAAGATCAGAGGGTTAGAGTGTGGCTGCCTTTACAACAAGGTTAAAACGCTCCCTTCTAGACCATCTATTACAACGCGGGCAGAGTACTCCCTCTCTTAGTCAAGATCAGAGAGAGCTCAAAAATAAAAAATAACAACGAGTCCCTGACCTGCAACACCCCAGGACCCCATAGGGGCCGTCTGGTGAGATTTCCAGGGAAATAGGAAGGGAGAGAGAGGGGAGAAGAAGGAGGCTGAGCTGAGGCCATTATTTTCACCTTCTCGGCCGGAGCTCGGTGGAGCTCGCTCCCTCCTAATATCCTAATTTCGCCTGCGCTTGGAAGACCCGAAGGCGCAGATATTATCCCTGCAGGGCTTTGCTTGTGCTACCGCTTTCAGTTTCGGTTTCGGCTGATGGCCCTTTTGGCTGAGCTGCTCTGATCCATTGCTGTGTTGCTGCTTGGGAGAAATCTTCAGAAGCTCAGTTGCCGCTGCTTGAGACTCCAATCTTGTGTTGCTGCTATTTGTTGCTGTAGAAATAACATCTGATCTCCAGCTCTGAAAGCTCTTGGCAACTGTGACGTGAATTGACCAACAATTGACCAACAGACACTGCCTCTTGCATGAGTATACCATCTGCTCATCTGCTTGTGATTAGTGCCACCACCCATTGGCTGGTCGGGAAGAGGCGGGAGCCTGGCCAAGGGGATGCCGGCTTGTCCTTCACGGATCCTCAGAAACCGGTCTCCTAATTCTGAACTGACTACCCTTGATTGAGAAGTGGCCTAGTCCAAGAAGGCAAAGAACTTTTTTCGAACTGGTTCTACTACTATGTCACTTTAGCCTAGAGCATTTTAGATCTTTCGGTGGTTGTCCGGTATCCACCACCCCCGGAAGACTGAGTCGGCCACCTGTGACCAAATTACCGCCACCTTTGCATCCCGCTGATCCAATCTTGGACAAATTGTGTGATCTTTCATGGTCCAGCAGTGCCTGCTGATTGTGTTGACTGTGTTGAACTGCTGATTGTTACTGTGTAGACCTCTTGTGTAGACCTCTTGTGTAGACCGTTTGTGTAGACCTCTTATGCTGGCCTCTTTGTATGAAGAGATATCATCGTAGTTCAACTGTGCTGACCGCCGCTGTGTTGACATCGCCGGATGACCCATCCGCTTTTAGACCAACCGTCTAGGGATTACATCTGAATCATAACAATTTTAATAACCTTATCCAATTACTATTACCATCATCCTTGTGAGAGTGTGATTACATATCACTACCTCAGTTACCCCTTGGTTGTCGTTTGCTGCTAATTTGATCAAGAACGCAATAGCACTTTAAGGCGCCTGCCACTGCTGCTAAATTATACCAGCACTACGCCCCCATCCTTTTCCTCTATGCCGCACTTTAGTTAATTGAGAGAACCAGTTTGGGTATCTATTGCACTTAGATCTTGCACTTTATGTACTGCACCTTAGATCTTGCACTTTATGTATGTGCCCAACGGTACGCAGTGTGTTGTTGACTGAGTGATATTACTGACTGTGTGGCACTTAAGACTCTTGCACTTTACGAACTATTCAACTGGTGTGGCTGAACGCCTAGCTCCATCTGAATCTATTGTTATCCATGTGGCTCCCCATCCCCCTATTTGTTCTGTCCCTGTTACTGCTGACTAGTGGAGGGGGCAGGGGAGGAGGAGGGCTGGAGCCTGTGAACAAGGATGGGGCGGGGAGGGGGGAGGAGGGGAGGCAAGGGAGATGGCAAAGGCCAACAATCCAAACTTCGAGCGATATTGGAAATAAGACCTTGGTGCTGGACTGCGGCATGGAGGAGGGGAGGTGTTCCACTAGCCGAGGGGCCCCCATAGAGGTCGTGGTGGGGAGGAGGAGATGCGGTAAAAGGAGACCTCAAATTCGGCTTAATTCGGACCGCTTACCAACATTAACAACCCTAAACCGGTCTCCTAAGGTATATTGGTGTAACCAGGTGAGCGGGCCCTCCGGATTGAAGGTGGTGCTGCTGAACGCCAGGTCTGTCAACGGAAAAACGACCTGGATCCAGGACTTAATCCTGGATGAGCGGGCAGATCTGGCGTGCATTACGGAGACCTGGCTGGATGAAGCTGGGGGCGTAAATCTTACCCAGCTTTGTCCTCCAGGCTTCTCCGTACAGCACCAACCGAGATCCGGAGGACGGGGAGGCGGGGTCGCAGTGGTCTATAGAGATTCCATCCATCTGACCAGGAGTCCCATCCCGCAGACCACAAATTTTGAATGTGTCCACCTGAGGGTGGGTGACCGGGACAGAATAGGGATTCTGTTAGTGTACCGTCCACCTCGCTGCACTACAGTCTCCCTACCTGAGCTAGCGGGGGTGGTCTCGAGCCTGGCGTTGGAGTCTCAACGGCTTCTTGTGCTGGGGGACTTCAACATCCATGCCGAGGCGACCCTCACAGGAGCAGCTCAGGACTTCATGTCCGCCATGGCAACCATGGGGCTGTCCCAACGAATAACTGGCCCTACCCACTGTGCTGGACATACATTGGACTTGGTTTTCTGCCAGGGATGGGAGCAGGTGGCGGTGTGGAGGAGTTGTCCATCTCTCCGTTGCCATGGACCGACCACTTCCTGGTCAGATTTAGGCTCACTGCGCCCCCTAACCTCTGCAAAGGTGGAGGACCCATTAAGATGGTCCGCCCCAGGAGACTGATGGATCCGAATGGATTCCTGACGGCTCTTGGGGATTTTCCTGCCACCTCGGTAGGTGACCATGTCGAGGCCTTGGTCGCTCTCTGGAATGGGGAGATGACCAGGGCAATTGACATGATCGCTCCGGAGCGTCCCCTCTCAAGTAGCCGAGCTAAACCAGCCCCTTGGTTTACCGAGGAGCTGGCAGTGATGAAGCGAAGGAAGAGGGAACTAGAGAGCGTGTGGCGTTCGGATCCAAGCGAGTCAAACCGAGCACGGTTTGTGTCCTTTCTTAGGGCATATGCCGCGGCAATAAAGGCCGCAAAGAAAGTTTTCTTTGCGGCCACTATTGCGTCTGCAAAGAACCGTCCGGCGGAGTTGTTTCGGATTGTTAGAGGTCTTTTAACTCCCGCCACCTCTGGCGGGAGCCCTGACAATTCGGTCACGCGCTGTGAAGCATTTGCTCGGTTCTTTGCAGACAAAGTCGCCTTGATCCGTTCTGGGCTGGACACCGCGTTAAATGCAGTCTCAGAGGATGTAACAAGAGCACCTGCTTGTCCTATTTTGATGGATTCTTTTCAGTTTGTGAAACCCGAGGATGTGGACAAGATACTTGGAGGAATGAGGCCCACCACGTCTATCCTAGACCCCTGCCCATCCTGGCTTCTGAGGAGGCCAGAGGGGGATTGGCTGAGTGGGTAACGGTGGTGGTTAATGCCTCCCTTCGGGAAGGCAAGATTCCAGCGTGCTTAAAACAAGCTATTATAAAACCGCTGTTGAAGAAACCATCACTGGACCCCACTAAATTTGACAACTTTCGGCCTGTTTCCAATCTCCCCTTTTTGGGCAAAGTCATGGAAAGCGTGGTGGCCTCACAACTCCAGGTATTCTTGAGAGACATGGATAGTCTGGATCCGGCACAGTCTGGTTTCAGACCGGGACATGGTACCGAGACGGTCTTGGTCGCCTTAGTGGATGATCTGCGCCGGGAGCTAGACAGGGGGAGTGTGTCCCTGTTGGTGCTCCTGGACCTCTCAGCGGCCTTCGATACCGTCGACCACGGTATCCTTCTGGGGCGCCTTGCGGAAATGGGCCTTGGGGGCACTGCTCTGCAGTGGCTCCAGTCATTTCTGGAGGGTCGCACCCAGAAGGTGTTATTGGGGGACTCCTGTTCAACACCACAGCCTTTGACCTGTGGAGTTCCACAGGGTTCTATATTGTCCCCCATGTTGTTTAATATCTACATGAAGCCGCTGGGTGAGATCATCCGGAGTTTCGGGGTGCGGTGTCATCTGTACGCAGATGATGTCCAACTCTGTCACTCCTTTCCACCTGCTACTAAGGAGCTGTCGAGGTCCTGAACCGGTGCCTGGCCGCTGTAACGGTCTGGATGAGGGCGAACAAACTGAAATTAAATCCAGACAAGACAGAGGTACTCCTGGTCAGTCGCAAGGCCGAGCAGGGTATAGGGTTACAGCCTGTGCTGGATGGGGTCGCACTCCCCTTGAAGGCGCAGGTTCGCAGCTTGGGTGTGATCCTGGATTCATCGTTGAGCCTGGATCCCCAGGTTTCAGCGGTGACCAGGGGAGCATTTGCACAGCTTCGGCTCGTGCGCCAGCTGCGCCCGTATCTCGGGAAGTCTGACTTGGCCACGGTGGTACACGCTCTGGTCACATCCCGGCTTGACTACTGCAACGCTCTCTACGTGGGGCTGCCCTTGAAAACGGCCCGGAAGCTTCAGCTGGTTCAGCGTGCGGCAGCCATGTTACTAACTGGAGCGGGATACAGGGAGCACACAACACCCTTGTTGTCCCAGCTCCACTGGCTGCCGATTTGCTACCGGGCCCAATTTAAGGTGCTGGTGTTGGCCTACAAAGCCCTGAACGGCTCCGGCCCAAAATACCTTTCAGACCGCATCTTGGCCTATGAGCCCACGAGGACCTTGAGATCGTCTGGGGAGGCCCTTCTCTCGATCCCGCCTGCCTCACAGGCACGCCTGGCGGGGACGAGAGAGAGGGCCTTCTCAGTGGTGGCCCCCCGGTTGTGGAACACTCTCCCTACAGACATCAGGCAGGCGCCCTCTCTTTTGTCCTTCCGAAAAAGCCTCAAGACGTGGCTGTTCGAGAGGGCATTTAATTAAGTGCTATAGTAATGTGGTAAAGACGACTGGAATGGTACAAGGAATACGAGATTGGTCACGATTCTATTACGAGACGAAGCGGATTAGTTAGTGTAATTTTAACTGTTGTATTGTTGTATGGTTAATATGCTGTTGTACTTGTCTTTGTGTGAATTGCCTTTTGTACTGTACACCGCCGTGAGTCGCCCGAGTGGGCTGAGAATGGCGGTTAATAAATGCTCCAAATAAATAAATAAATTAATAAATTAATAAGAAGCTATCCAAGCTTTTGAACAATGCCACATATTAAATTCAGAATGTATCAGATCCTCCCATTAAAGTTAAGAGAATTTGTTTATTTGTTTGTTTACCATGTCAGAAGCAAATTGACATGCTAAACATGCTCACTCTTATAATAGGCCTCCTCATAGGGCACCCCTGAAAGATGGCCATCCAGCCCCTTTTTAAAAGCCTCCAAGAAAGGAGCCTCCACCACACTCCGGGGCAGAGAGTTCCACTGCTGAACAGCTCTCACAGTCTGGAAGTTCTTCCTAATGTTCAGATAGAATCTCCTTTCTTGTTCAGATGGAATCTCCTTCTCCTCCTTTCCCAGAATCTCTTTAGAGCAGTAAGGCTCTTCCGCTGCCTGGGCTGCGTTTGGTCTCAGCGAGACAAAAAGGAAAATCAGCACATTGCTCCCAGTGTCCGTGCTACTGTGGCCCAGTTCAATGCCGTCACCAACTGTGTCATAGCATCTGTGCTCGGAGACCTGGCCCTGCGAAGTCCCCAGCGTGCACAACTATTGGAGAAATGGATCAGTATCGCCCAGGTAGGTCTGGCACAGCAGCAGAGGGGCGGGTGATGTGAGTCATCAAGGGTCAGGAATATCCAATTTAGGAAGAGAAAGAAATATAGCGGATGTGAAACTTTAAAAAAAAAATCCAGGAGTATCCCATGCTACTTGAGGGGTTTCTAGGACTTGTATTCTGAAAAAGGAATTTTAACTAGCTATGAATAAGCCTAATCTTGGGGAGCAAGGGAATATCAAGCTTTGGAATGATTCTTTGCAATTTTTTGTGACACATCTTCTATGATCTGTAAATGACCCAAGCAGGGAATGTTGTGGTGGTATAAGCTTTCCTGATGGTAAAGTTTAAGCCGTAAGTGGAAAGTATAGCCCAAAATACATGGGGCAGGAGCAACGTATTCCCTCTTAGGATACTTCCCACTCAGGCCCGTAGCCAGGATTTTGATTTTTTTTGGGGGGGGGGCTGAGTTTGATTCGGGGGGGGGGGGGCTCAGGATCTACCCTAGCAAACCTTTTGTATCATTATCCCAATACCCCCATGCATATGGGATATATTGAGCATGGTGATCAGATCATGATATGAATAAACATAACAGTTTAAATAATGTGCCAGTAAGGCCTTCTCGCAGACCACCCTGAGAATTTAGGGGGGGGGCTGAAAACCCTATATGGCTCCGGTCCAGTGTACCTGTCCGAACATATCTCCTTCTACGTCCCACCTTGGAGCTTAAGATCGTCTGGGGAGGCCCTGCTTTCGGCCCCGCCTTTGTCTCAAACACGCTTGGCGGGGACGAGGGACGGCGCCTTCTCGTTGGTGGCCCCCTGCCTGTGGAATTTGCTCCCTGGGGAAATTAGGTCATCATTATCCCTCCTCACCTTTAGAAAAAAGGTTAAAACGTGGCCTTCAGGCAATCAGGTTAAAGGACAATTGATAATATTTGACTATGGCATGGAAAATGGAGCCCCCGGTGGCGCAGTGGGTTAAAGCACTGAGCTGCTGACCTTGTTGATCGAAAGGTCGCAGGTTCGATTCCGGGGAGCGGCGTGAGCTTCCGCTGTCAGCCCTAGCTTCTGCCAACCTAGCAGTTCGAAAACATGCAAATGTGAGTAGATCAATAGGTACCGCTCCGGTGGGAAGGTAACGGCGCTCCATGCAGTCATGCCGGCCACATGACCTTAGAGGTGTCTACGGACAACGCTGGCTTTTCGGCTTAGAAATGGAGATGAGCACCACACCCCAGAGTCAGACATGACTGGACTTAATGTCAGGGGACTACCTTTACCTTTACCTATGGCATGGAAAAGGATTTGGATAAGTTAAGCGGAGTAATCATTAGTAGATGGCTAGCTAAACAGCCACCAGATGGGCAATAGCTAATCAGAGTGTAAGTATACTGTTTTAATCTTTATTTATTAATGTTCATGTTAATTGTTATATTTGTTATTCTGTATTCTGTATTTTATGATGCGGCATTGAATTATTGCCAATTTTAAGCCGCCCTGAGTCCCCCCTGGGGTTGAGAAGGGCGGGGTAGAAATGTTCGAAATAAATAAATAATAAATAAATAAATACGGGCCTGTTCCCACTCATGATTTAACAGAGAGAGGGAATGAACAGATGACCTTTCTTCAACCCAGTTTTTCACAATGAGCAGATATTCACAATGAATGACTGTGATGGAGATCATATTGACATGTCATTCTGATGGGTGGTGATAACATAGTTACAGTGTTTTAAATGCAAAATCTGAATCAACAGCTACTTGGTAACTCAGTGTTTATGTAAATATATGTTTTTCATTCAGTATATCTATTGTAGTTACGACAATCGTACATCTAGGGCTAACATAAGTCAAATAGTAAGCATATTGAATGGTCTTAAAATGAGTATTAACCGATTAAAGAATTATAATTCAGTTAGGACCTGCCTTTAGCTGAGCCAACACTTTTCAAACTGGCCCAGCAGTACAAAAAACTATATTGCCATTCTCAAGGAGGGAAGCAAACCCAAGCATATGTGCCTTCACACTGTTCATCAGCTTATGGTAACCCCATGATTTATTGAAGGCAATAAATATTCATATTTGGTTTGCCCCTACTTACCTCTGAATTAAAACGTACAGCTCCTGTTTTTCCTGGGCAGTGCATCAGCCAAGTAATAACCAGATTAGCTTTTAGGATCATAGGGGATCAACTTTCTCCAGGGCATTTAGTCCTATGAAGAAAAACTACAATTTACATATTAAGTAAAAACAAACAAATACACCATGTAACAACGATTTCTGTAAATGCCATTTCCGTGTTGGTTCTACCATAAAACATAGAAAAAGTTTATTGAACTGCAGGACATCCTGCAGCACATTTTGCTATAGTTTTTCAATGAATATCTCACAGAGTCTCGACCAATTCCACATAGTTTGTGGCAACCATAAAAACAAAGTTTCTGGAGTATAATAACTACTTTCAAAGTAAGCATCAAACAATTAAACAGGAAATAACACTTTTCAAAGCAGAAACAGAAAATGTTTAACATTTTGTTACATAGTGTTATTATTAGAATGATTAGGTGATCTTAATTTGTTTTTAATTGTTAACATACCAGAAATTAAATCACCTATCTAACCAATGTTTCTCCCAGTCCAAATACCCCCCTGTAATAAAGAATGAACGACCGTCCCGCTGTTGGCAGGGGGGGAAACCTTCCTATCCCACCGCTGCGACCAATGTAAAGGGGATTAAGGAACAAGGTGTCCCTTAACACACCTGTGTGACAGGAATTTGCGTGTGGGAATAACTACTGATGTGAGAGACCGATGATATTGGTAGATTTTTGCCACCACCACCTCAAATTTATTGTTTGAGGAAACAAAGGTGTGAATGTGTTTGAGGTAATATGCGTCCTGGCTTCTGGTTCTTCTTTATGAGCTCCTTTACTTGCTGACTGGACTGTAAAGAGGTTTTTAGGCTGACTTGATTTCACTGAGAACGACAGACTGAGGCAGACACCAGTTAAAGATGAACTAATAACAGGTTTATTGAACTTTAAGAATATGGCAACTCATAAAATGAGCGGTACACACGTGTATTTCTGTTACTGAGGCTTAGGCTTATTAGACATATAGTTTCTACAGAAGGTGTAGCTTTTACTTGAAGTGAGTTCCCTTCTCCACACTATTCAACTCTCCGAAACAGTATGTTCCTAAGATCAGTCCCCCTGACTGTCTTACAGAGTAACCAGACTTTCTCCAGTCTACTCTCCGCTATAGGGCAATAAGCTCACTTGTACTCTCTCTTAATACAAGTTGACAAGTCTTCCTCACTGACTCTCCTAGTACAGTAATACTGAAGCCCTTGTCCCCTTTCTTACTCCCTAACAGCTTGACTCACTCTAAAGCGTCCTTCTCCCTGTCTCTGTTAAAATCCTCCTTCTCTCTGTGTTGTTAAAACCTTTCTCCCTCCTGTCAGAAGTGACAGCCTTTTTCACTCACACCCAACTCCTCCCCTTGGTGCTTAAACCAATCAGGAGTCGGCTGACTCCTCCCCTGCCTCCTTGCCTCTCCCAAGATGTCAGCTACTTCTAAGCTTCCCTACCAAGATGGAGACTCAGCCCACTGACTCTAAGGCTTTGGCCTAGCCGGCAAGGTTAGAATCTATTACACCCCCATTAACATTGGTTTAATTAATTAATCAGCTAATCAATCCAAACAGGTTGTCAACTGTGCTTCAAATGAAATGGCTTTTCCTACACTACAATTTAATGTATTCAAAGATTAGAATGTAAACCTTGTAGAGAATCCCACCCTATTTTACTAAGTGATATCTATTGTTCCCTGTCCGAAAACCTGAAATGCTACCTTGGCCATCCAGCGGTGCCGGGACCTCCGCAACTTCTCTTCACTCCATGCCATCCTGTCCGCTCTGCAATCCAACTCCATCTACCGACTGAAGCGTACCTGGGCTGCTGTCAACAAGTGAGAAACAGCGGAAAGGTTGGGCAATGTATCCTAGGATATACTCTGCTTCTCCATCTAAAGCAGTGGTTCTCAACTTGTGGGTCCCCAGATGTTTTGGCCTTCAACTCACAAAAATCCCAACAGCTGGTAAACTGGCTGGAATTTCTGGGAGTTGTAGACCAAAATACCTGGGAACCCATAGGATGAGAACCACTGACCTAGAGCAAGCTCCAGAATCCAGTTTTGCAACCATACTGAGTTTAAACTTTTAATTATATAGTACGATGTGTACAAAGTACAGTTATCTTAGAATCATAGAATCATAGAATCAAAGAGTTGGAAGAGACCTCATGGGCCATCCAGTCCAACCCCCTGCCAAGAAGCAGGAATATTGCATTCAAATCACCCCTGACAGATGGCCATCCAGCCTCTGCTTAAAAGCTTCCAAAGAAGGAGCCTCCACCACACTCCGGGGCAGAGAGTTCCACTGCTGAACGGCTCTCACAGTCAGTGAACGGCTCTCACAGTCAGTTGTTAGTTACTCGGTCATTAAACATGAAGATGACACAAATTAGATTTGAGATCCCTGGCTCCATCATGCAAAGCCTTTTCATTACCATTTATATTTGCAGTCAGACTTCTTAACAGGAAGTGAAGATGCTGAAATCTATATATATATATTTACATATGGTCTCAAGCACTCTTAATTCATTTTCAGGAATTTACTGACTTATCTTCACAGCCAGCAACTTAAAACTGGCTGTAAAGATTGGTTCCTTGTCTTTGGCAAGAAATAGATCAGCTTCTGTTAAAGGTCAACAAATAAAGCACTTGAACACCTAGTGAAGTGGACATGTTGGTGAAGGTGGGACAAAAAGGTCCGCTGCGGAAATGGAGCCCCACAGAGTCCCACCAGAAGTGGGCTCCTGTGGGGTTCCATTTCCACGGCAAATGGAAATGGAACCAAAAATCCATCTGATGAGGTTCTTAGAGATACACAACCTGTATTCTTCACAACTGAAGTAATATATGTGGCTGCCTAAAGAGGTCACTAGACGTCGAGCTTCATTACATCCAGGTTGTGAAAAATAGACATGATAATCCCACTGATGAAGTCCTGTTTATCCCACAGAGACTCTCGGGGAGCCTTCCGAAAGCTCTCACAGATCTTTTCCGAAGATGATAATCATTTGAACTGCCGAGAGATCCTGCTGCAGGTAGTTGAAATGTGTCTGTTTTATTGCTCTCTACAGCTGCAATACACCATTGGCCTTCTTCTTCGGTGCACCACCTCTGGAGAACTTGTGATGTTAGTGAGGACAGTTGCAGCTGGCTCTGGACAAGATTCAGGCTTTCCTCTGATTTAGCTTAACCTGTGACAAGGTCATATTAAGCTGGATCAGCCATGTGCACCAATCAATGTAGATGCACCCTTTGATTAAGGCAGAATCTAGTGTATTGTCGAAGGCTTTCATGGCCGGAATCACTGGGCTGTTGTAGGTTTTTTCGGGCTATATGGCCATGTTCTAGAGCAGTGTTTCTCAACCTTCCTCAAGCTGCGACCCCTAAATATAGTTCCCCATGTTGTGGTGACCCCCAACCATAAATTATTTTCATTGCTACTTCATAACTGTAATTTTGCTACTGTTATGAATCGTAATGTAAATATCTGAGATGCAGGATGTATTTTCATTCACTGGACAAAATGTGGCACAAATGCACAATATGCCCAAATTTGAATACTAGTGGGGTTGTGGGGTGGTGTTAATTTTGTCATTTGGGAGTTGTAGCATCGGCTGAGTGTCAGCTGCATTAAGATCACTCTGACCAAAGGTCATGAGTTCGAAGCCAGCCCGGCTTGGAGTGGGTTTCCAAACAATTGTGTGTAGCCTGTTGTCGACCTTTGCAACCCGAAAGACAGTTGCATCTGTCAAGTAGGAAAATAAGGTACCACCTTAAAGTGTGAGGAGGCTAAATTAACTGATTTATGAGGCCATAAAGAAGATTCCAGCAAAGCATTCCAGCGGGGAAGCATGCGGGGAATGCGGAAGTGCTTCATCAGGTCGCAGATGGACGATGAAAGCGACAGCTCCCCTGGCGGCCAGAAAAGTTAAATAGCCTCTGTGTATGTCTGTATAAGTTTGTATGTCAAAAATTGGCATTGAATGTTTGCCATATATGTGTACACTGTAATCCGCCCTGAGTCCCCTGCGGGGTGAGAAGGGTGGAATATAAAAGCTGTAAATAAAATAGTTGCTGGGATTTATAGTTCATCTACAATCAAAGAGCATTCTGAACTCCACCAACGATAGAATTGAAACATTCTTGGCACACAGAACTCCCATGACCAACAGAAAATACTGGAAGCGTTGTGGGCATTGACCTTGAGTTTTGGAGTTGTAGTTCACCTACATCCAGAGAGCACTTGGACTCAAACAATGATTGATCTGGACCAAACTTGGCACGAATACTCCATATGCCCAAATGTGAACACTGGTGGAGTTTGGGGGAAAAAGACCTTGACATTTGGGAGTTGTAGTTGCTGGGATTTATAGTTCACCTATAATCAAAGAGCATTCTGAACCCCACCAATGATAGAATTGGGCCAAACTTCCCACACAGAAACCCCATGACCAACAGAAAATACTGTGTTTTCTGATGGTCTTTGGCGACCCCTTTGACATCCCCTGGCGACCCCATCAGGTTATATGGCCATGTTCTAGAGGCATTCTCTCCTGATGTTTTGCCTGCATCTATGGCAAGCATCCTCACTACCTCTGAGGATGCTTGCCATAGATGCAGGCAAAACGTCAGGAGAGAATGCCTCTAGAACATGGCCATATAGCCCGAAAAAACCTACAACAACCCACAGAATCTAGTGGTTTGAGCACTGAGCTATAACTGGAGAACAGAGTTCAACACCCCAGACCCTGGCCATAAAACTTATTAGGTGACCTTGGCCAAGTTACACTCTCATCCCCAGAAACCCCCATGATAGAGTTGCTATAAGTGGACAATGAAGGTACACAACAACAAATGTCTGATATCTCAAATTTGCGTTTCGGTCCTCTTGTTTTGTTTCCAACAGGAATGTGGGCTTCAGGGCTCGTGTGATGGTTGTCACAGTCCTCAAATGTCTACACAAGCATCTCTGAAGCTAAAACTTCAAACCAAGCCATTGGTAAGAACTGTTTCTCCCAGTCCAGTGTGAACATCCAAACTGGTCCTTTGAGTCCAAGGGGAAAGTTCCATGAAAGGGTTTGGTGTACCCAGTAGATTGACAGTCATTGTGACGTGCAATATGTGAACTACAGGGCGAGGCAGCATAACTTCCTTTTTTAAAATGCGCGCCATTCAGTCGGTTGAAGACATAGTGGTCTCGTTCGAGAGGCGGGAGAATATAATGTTTTGTCCTGACACAGTTCAGTCGCCATCATGCGTTGGAACAGTGAGGAGCGTGCTTTTGCCATTGAGGCCTACTTTTCGAGCGGATTTGGAGTGGCTGGCCCGCCCTCCAGATTTGGCCCCTTATGATTTTTTTCAAGGACCCTACAAGATTTGAAAACCAACATCCAGGAAGAAATTGCCAATATAACGCCTGGTATGCTGGCAAGAGTCATGACAAACAGTGACAGCAGATGCTGGAAATGCAAAGCACACACTGGTTCCTTTCTACATATGTGGTGGAACTGTGTAAAAGCTAGAGATTTCTGGAAGGATATTCATAAAACAATACAACAAGTTTTGAAAATAAGATTTAAGTACAAACCAGAATACTTTTTATTAGGTATGTTTGACTTTGTTTTAGACCAAAACCAAGACAAACTTTTGACCTACATGATGACAGCAGCAAGATTAACGTATGCAAAACTATGGAAACAAGAAATCACTCCAACCAGAACACTATGGGTACTAAGACTATTAGATATAATGAATATGGACATATTGACATATCAAATCTCATGTCACTCCCCAAATCCCAAAAAGAAAACAGACTGGACACCCCTGAAATGTTTTTTGAAAAACGAAAATCTGGAAATAATAGAAGAAGCTATTATATGAAATACACGGAATGATTGAATTCAAACTTTAAAAGGACTAGCACTATTTAAATAACTCTCTTTTACTTTTACCTTAGACTAGCCGTCCCCTGCCACGCGTTGCTGTAGCCCACATGGGGATTCTGTGTGGGAGGTTTGGCCCAATTCTATTGTTGGTGGGGTTCAGAATGCTCTGTGATTGTAGGTGAACTATAAATCCCAGCAACTACAACTCCCAAATGTCAAGATTCTATTTTCCCCAAACTCCACCAGTATTCACATTTGGGTATATTGAGTATTCGTGCCAAGTTTGGAGATCCATCATTGTTTGAGTCCACAGTGATCTCTGGGTGTAGGTGAACTACAACTCCAAAACTCAAGGTCAGTGCCACCAATTTATTTATTTATTTATTTATTTACTATTCTTGTATACCGCTGTATCTCAAGCCCGAGGGCAACTCACAGTGGTTTCCAGACAGCAAACAACAAAGACAATTAAAACAGCAATAATTAATATACCACAACAGTTAAATTACACATTTCCATTACTAGCTAATAGACAAACATCAATATACCATAATCACAAAACCCACCCCCGATCGCCTCATCATCCAAGCGTGATCCAGATTCGACGTCATTGTTCCGTTCCTATGTTCAAATTACCAGAATTGCACTGAATTACTCAAACGCCTGCACAAACATCCAGGTCTTCAACTTTCTACGGAATGTCATGAGAGATGGTGCCAGCCTAACGTCTACAGGAAGGGCGTTCCACAGCCGAGGAGCCACCACCGAAAAGGCCCTATCTCTCGTCCCCGCCAACCGTACTTGAGAGAGGCTGGCGGGATCGAGAGCAGGGCCTCCCCGGAAGATCTCAAAGTTCGGGTGGGTTCATAGGCCGAGATGCGGTCAGATAGGTATCTTGGGCCGGAACCGTTTAGGGCTTTATAGGCCAATACCAACACCTTGAATTGAGCCCGGTAGCAAATCGGCAGCCAGTGGAGCTGGTGCAACAGGGGGGTTGTGTGCTCCCTGCGCTCCGCTCCTGTTAGAATCATGGCTGCCGCGCGTTGGACTAGTTGCCCACCAAACCCTTCAGTATTTTCTGTTGGTCATGGGAGAACTGTGTGCCAAGTTTGGTTCAATTCCATCATTGGTGGGGTTCAGAATGCTCTTTGATTGTAGGTGAACTATAAATCCCTGCAACTACAATTCCCAAATGACAAAATCAATTTTTTTGAGTGAAGGACATACATTGGGTTGTTAGGTGTCTTGTGTCCAAATTTGGTGTCAATTCGTCCAGTGGTTTTTGAGTTTGGCCCAATTCCATCATTGGTGGAGTTCAGAATGCTTTTGATTGTAGGTGAACTATAAATCCCAGCAACTACAATTCCCAAATGACAAAATCATTTTTTTTGAGTGAAGGACATAGATTGCTTTGTCAGGTCTCTTGTGTCCAAATTTGGGGCCAATTCATCCAGGGGTTTTTGAGTTCTGTGAATATCACAAATGAACATTACATTTTTATTTATATAGATATTAATTCTTCAAGGCGAAGATAGGAAGTACCAAATTTCTGTTCCACTCTTGCTCTATTTTAGGAATTTTTTCTTTCTTTTCTTGTCTTTTTTCTCTCTTCTTCTTTTAGAAATTAATTTAGTTCTCACTTTTCTATACTCATGAAATGTTCCCCCTCTTTTATTGTATCACTACAGATTTTTTTTCTTCAGAATAAAAATTATAATTTTAAAAAATCTTGATCATAAATAAATCTCATATCTTAAAATGAGGTTGGAATTGCAATGAGATGGTGTGCTGGGGAGAACAAAAGGAACAAGTGAGTAAATCCATTTGTGGTTTCTTCAAGGCTCCCACCATCCCATACCTTGGCACCTTTTTAACTGATCTCATCATGCTGGACACAGCACTGCCAGATTTTGTGGAGGTGAGTATATGTGTGTGTGTGTGTGTGTTGACGGGAAATGGTTGCTATAGTGCAAAAGTAACATTTAGTTGGAGCAGACATGGACAATCTTCGGCCCTCTGGGTGTTTTGCACCTCAACTCCCACAATTTCTAACAGCCGGTAAGCTGGCTGGGATTTCTGGGAGTTCAAGTCCCAAACACTTAGAGCAGGGGTCCTCAAACTACGGCCCGGGGGCCGAATACGGCCCTCCAAGGCCATTTACCCGGCCCTCACTCAGGGTCAAACTTAGTCTGAAACAACTTGAAAGCACACAACAACAACAACAACAACAATCCTATCTAATCAGCCAAAAGCAGGCCCCCACTTCCTAATGAAATACTAATAAGTTTATGTTTGTTAAAATTGTTCTTCATTTTAATTATTGTCTTGTTCTAAAGTGTTTTTTGCACTACAAATAAGATGCGTGCACTGTGCATAGGAATTCATTCATTTTTTTTTTCAAATTATAATACGGCCCTGTGCCGTCGCGCCTGGGGGCTATTATTCTCAATAAAGGAGGGATGGACGTGGCATCTTTCCCCCAGGGGATTGCTTCTTGCCCTCCTATAGGAAACTGGAACTCCCAAAAACCCAAAACGCTGTAAATAGCTCAAAATAAGTTTTATTTATCACAAAGTCATTTCTTCAAAGCAATGAGCTGGAAAACTTTAGAGGGGTGAAGGAAAACATACATTACACTCTCAATTAGTCCTGGGTCCAAGGGGTTTGAAGCTGAGAAGCCTCACCAAGTTTCCTCTTTCCTCAATGGCTGTGAATGCCGGAGCAAACCACAACCCCAGTTCAGATGGCCTATGTTTTGAAGATTCAGGATCTTCCTTTGGTGCCAAAAGAACCGGCTTGAAGGCGCTGGGTCTCCTCAATAATTGTCCAGGACGATCTGGACATAAAGCATGAGTCCCAGGGGTAAAAAACCTCAGAACTGTGGCTAAGAGGTAACTTAAATCAGGGTCCTTTAGAATCAAGTCTCTTACTCACGTCCATCTGGTACGAACTCTGATGGCAGAATGAAGAAGAAAAAGGAAATTCTCCCCTCTTGTAGGAAGAGGTGGAGCCAAACAGTACTGATTGACAGCTACAAGCAACCAATCCATACAACTATACATAAGCAGGGTAAAAAGGGGCAGGATTAAGCATGATACAACAGTTTAAATCTTACAACTAACAGTTCTATACATAGGTGGCGCCACTCGCGCCATCACAGGCCCTCCAAACAGTTTGAGGGACTGTGACCTGGCCCTCTGTTTAAAAAGTTTGTGGACCCCTGACTTAGAGGGCCGAAGTTTGCCCGTGCCTGTCTTAGAGAAATGAGAGGATCTGTTTATGGGATTACAATTGTGGGTTAGAGATAAATTGCATTGCTGATCTTAAAATGCCTACATTGATACAAATATTGTTAAGAAAAAGAATATAAATGGGGTAAAAGAAGGAGAATGCAAGCTGGAAAAAAGTAGGGGAAGAAGAAAAATAACAACTAGGTTCTTGTAGGTTTTTTCGGGCTATATGGCCATGTTCTAGAGGCATTTCTCCTGACGTTTCGCCTGCATCTATGGCAAGCATCCTCAGAGGTAGTGAGGTCTGTTGGAAATAGGAAAAGGGTTTATATATCTGTGGAATGACTGGGGTGGGGCAAAGAGCTCTCTGCTGAAGCTAGGTGTGAATGTTTCAGCTGACCACCTTCATTAGCATTTGAAGGCCTGGCTGAGCCTGGGAAAATGCTCTGTTGAGAGGTGTTAAGATGTGCCTGGTTGTTTCCTCTCTGCTGTTTTGCTGTAGTAATTTTAGAGTTTTTTAATACTGGTAGCCAGATTTTGTTCATTAACAACTGTTTAAAATAACAACTGTTTAAAAGGACCATCACCATCTTTTTACTTCTCCAATTCTTCAGGGCAACCTCATCAACTTTGAGAAAAGACGCAAGGTAAATGTTAAGCTAAAGCACCTGACACTTGGTGGCTGTTTGTGGGGAATCATAATCTCTTTGGGAACAGGGCGTGGAAATGGGCAATAGAGGAAAGCCTAAATGCCAGGAATTAGAAAGGGACTTCAGTGCCCGTCCACCTTGCTGGTTTGTCTTCTTCCTCAGGAAGCCGCCATCCTCTTCTTGATCCATCAGCTACAGGAGTCATGCCAAGGGTACAGCCTCCATCCAAACCCTTCCTTCTGCAAGGCTTTTCATCAGCACCTACAGCTTTCAGAGGAACAGAGGTAGGGAAGAGGAGAAAATGCTTCACTGAAAAAGAAATCATTAATGACAATTTTCAAGCCAAAAAGGAGGAGCCCAGTAGCTCTGAGGGCTAATTTCACCCTTAACCTTCAAGGGCTGGCTACAGGCCCGTAGCGAGGTGGGGGGGGGGGGGTTAGGGGTTCAAACCCCCCCAAAATGTTTCAGATTTTTAAAAAAACCTGGTTTACTCATGAATTTTAACTGGTTAACCAAATCCCCATGCTAAGTCTATGAGATGCAAAAAATCAAGAGTCCCTCCAGAACTGCAAGCAGTATCTCAAGCAAATATTAGCAATTTATTCACACTGTCATTACTTGCAGCAATAGCCAATGTAGTTGTTCTGGTACAGCTGTACCAGGAGCTCCAACTTTATTTGCTTTGTATTAAATGTTTGCTTGCAGTCCTAGGTTTCAGGGACTCTGCAGATAGGTGGCTTCTTTGGTTGCAGTCATAGGGCAAGTCACCTGTCCATCATTGTTAAGTTTTGGTCCCGCCCCTTGCTCAGGGCAATTGGGAAGGGAAGGGAGCCATTTTTAGTTAGTCTTAGCAAGGTAAGCTTATGTATAGGATGTGTGCAAGCTTCCCCTGTACAAAAGCTTCAACCCTTAAGACCTTCCGGGGGAGAAAGGTCTTAAGAGTCTCCAAAGAATTTCCAGGAAAACAGCCCTAAAGACCAAAGAACTCCAGCTGGAGAACATCTACTGCCTTGCTGGTAGGTCCACTCGGCGTTCGAGACGCAGTTTGACCCGGTAGCGGAGCCCACATCAGTAAGGGTTAGATTACAGTCAGCCTGGGAGAAGTTAAAAAGGGGATTTTCCTTTAAAGAAGAAGTTATTGAAGACAGTTGCCTGTCCTTCGTGGGCAAGATTAGGAATTCACCAGTTGCCTAAAAGCTTGGAATCATTTGCTTAACTTTACTGAAGACAAGAGAAGTTTCTGTTTGATTGTTCATTAATAAAATACTTTGTTGTACTTCTCAAAGCCATCTAAAGACTGTTTGTGGTGGAAACCTCTGAGAACTTCTCTTTAGGCCCCCTGGCTTCCCGCTGGGCAAAGGTTGCACATCCTGTTCTAAAGACAATTATTTATAGGCCCAGCGCGCGACAGAACAGTAGTGAAGCAACCAAGTTGGGGGGGGGGGGGATGGTGAATGCTCTCATTAAGGAGGCCAGACTTGGTGGAGGTGGTTGACAGGGGTGGAGCTGCAGGCTATTGAAGGCTGCTCTGCCCTGCTGTGCTCTTTGCTTCAGCGTGAGCTAGGAGGCAGGTTTCAACCCCCCCCTCCCCCGAAATTTTCAACCCCCCCCCCGAAAATTTCAACCCCTCCTGAATTTTTTTTCTGGCTACGGCTCTGGCTGGCTATCTCTGTCACAAGCTTTAAATAAGCTTAAATAAGTGAAGTCTCAAAGATTTGGCTTCTTCAGAATGATAGTGTTTGAGGGGATCTACAGAACCAACTGCTAGGCCCACCACCACTAACCACCATCAACTGCAAAACATGATACATGACAATTGTTTCCAACCCTTCCTACACTATACTGAAATACATGATGATTTTGTAATAATTGTACCTCCCCCGCACATCTCTCATCAAGTTCATGGCAGAACCCATGAGCTAAGGAGGAAGGGAGCAAGGGAAAGAAAGCTGGGGGGATCCCTGACTGAGGATGGGACTCCAACACCTTTTGGGAAATCAGGGATAGGTGTCAGAAGAGACAGGCAAAAAACACCAAAGAAGAAATATGCAAGTTTACACTTGGTGGACTTTTTGGGCAGAAGATATGTGTTTCTGGTTTCTCCCTAAAGTTACCGGATTTCCCGTATGATTGAGCCACCGGCAGATTCTTGTCCCAACTCTCCAAAGCTGCATCGCAGCCTGACCAAGCGCTTCAGCTCGTAAGTCAGCTCTCTGTTTCTGGGAGTGGATTGGGGGGGAGAATAGCATTGCTTCCTGTCTGCCCTGGCTTGTCTGCACATCTAACCCAGATACACATACCATGTACATCTTTCCAGCAGTTGTCTACTTTCTGTTGTTGTTGAGAGAGATAGAAATAGCATCTGACTTCGGCATGGTCCCTATCCCAGTTTCACTTTTTTAAAGATGCCCTGACATGGTCCTGCTTTTGCAGTTGAGCCCATCTTAGACAAAACTGATAGGAGGGGAATGAACTTTATAGCCACTTCATCACACTAGGTGAAGATTTTGGGGTTTGTAGTTTAGTGAGGTTGTTAAAGGTTCCTCCCTAAACTACAAACCCCAGAATTCTGCAGGAGGCAGAAACTGGATTTTAAGTGTTTGGTTTTTTCTCTCTAGTGTGATGAGGCTAGTTCAGAAAGCATGACTACAAATAGAGTGTTTCTTTTTCAGACTCCATTTTCTGAATTAAATAAAAGTAAATGGACCATTTTGAGCAGGCCACTATTATTTCACACCTGAGAATTAGGAGAACTGGAGTGGAAAGGCAAGGCCAAGTGGCGAATTCATTGCCGATCATAACATATACCGTATATTCTGGCGTATAAGACTACTTTTTAACCCAAGAAAAGTCAAGGGTCGTCTTATACATGGGAGTCATCTTATATGCTGGAGTAGCCTTATGTCCCCGGTGGCGCAGTGGGTTAAAGCACTGAGCTGCTGAGCTTGTTGATCGAAAGGTCGCAGGTTCGATTCCGGGTAGCGGCGTGAGCTTCCGCTGTCAGCCCTAGTTTCTGCCAACCTAGCAGTTCGAAAACATGCAAATGTGAGTAGATCAATAGGTACCGCTCTGGGGGGAAAGTAACAGTGCTCCATGCAGTCATGCCAGCCACATGACCTTGGAGGCATCTATGGACAACGCTGACTGTTCTGCTTAGAAATGGAGATGAGCACATCTTATACGTGGGAGTAGTCTTATGCACGGGAGTTGTCTTATATGCTGGAGTAGCCTTATGCATGTGAGTCGTCTTATATGCGGGAGTAGTCTTATACGCCAGGAGTCGTCTTATAGAGCGGGTGCTGAAACTTCCAATCCGGATTGGAGAATCTGTGGTTGCTGCATATTGTGGGGGGAGCTCAAAAATGGCAGTGGCCGTGTCCCTGCCGTATGCAGCGACTGTATGAAAGCATTAAGGGACGCTGTACATGTATGGTAGAAGAAAATCCATTTATCAGGATTTGTGGACTTAATGCAGTCCCAATAGTGAGGTGAAGGGGTGCCTCACTGGGAAGGTGTAAGTGAAGGGTGGAGCACGCCGCAAGCATCCAGGGCACCTGGGGTATGGAGAAAAGAGATAGAGTGTCTCTGGGCCCAGAAAAACACACCTCTTTCACCTGTCTAGCCCACCCTTGTATCCTATTACTGTACCTCCTCCTCTGCCTCTCAGATCTCGCTCCTGAAGACTGCAGTGAAGTGGTGCAGGTGCGCATGTGCGAGATCTGAGAGGCAGAGAAGGAGGTACAGTAATAGGAAAATTACCATATTGAAATCAAATCTGATGCTTTTAATTTTTATTTGGTGTGTGTTGGAAGAGGGGTAGTCTTATACGGCAAGTATATCACAAACTCTATATTTTAACTGGAAAAGTTGGAGGTAATATTACATGCTGGAATATACGGTACTGCTAATTCCAAATTCACATTCTGTACTTTCATTCATGCCAGCCTCGTACACTAGTGTCTGGTGCCAGGATGCTTGACAATGGAAGAATATTGTGTACTGCTGGCATTAGCCTGAGTAATGATGGTTGAGAGGAGTGAGAGGCTCAGTTTATGATGAAATGCTGGATGTAAGTCTGACTGTTGTGTCTGACTGTGCTCTAAGATAAGGTGTGGGAGAAAAAAGTACCTGGAGTGTGTTATCCCCTTTTGCTATTCTGACAGCTATTTCTGCCACCTTCTCCACTTTCTTTGCAGACTCCTCCTGGGCACAGAGACTTCTGCCTCTCTTCCAAGCCCTGAGAAACCGGGAATGTCACCTCTGGGCTCCTGTAGCAGCCCAAACGCTGGAAATGTATCCAGTGCCCCTTGCTCCCCAACTTGGGGGCCTCCAACTATCAAGGTGATGCCTTTATTTGTCTCTAGAAAACGCCTACTGAGGCCCTCAAGGTAAAAGTAAAGGTTTTCCCCTGACATGAAGTCCAGTAGTGTCCAACGCTAGGATGTGGTGCTCATCTCCATTTCTAAGCCGAAGCGCCGGCGTTGTCCGTAGACACCTCCAAGGTCATGTGGCCAGCATGACTGCATGGAGCGCCCTCAAACTGGCCTCTAATTTGGACATTCACAGGTACAAGTGCATGCAATAACAAGTGCATGGCAACACAAAAGTAGTATTCAAAAAAGAGTCAGCATGTCACTGTAAAAGGAAAAGGGGCGGACTGTCCAACACAATAGCTGTCTTGGCAGAGCTCTTCCAATATATTATCCAGAAGACCAAGATCACTTGTGCCTTCTTCAGGAAGGATTTTCATGAGATTTTGGAGTCCTCGTGGACAGCAAGTTAAACATGAGCCAACAATGTGATGTGGCGGCAAAAAAAGCCAATGGGATTTTGGCCTGCATCAACAGGAGCATAGTGTCTAGATCTAGGGAAGTAATGCTACCCCTCTATTCTGCTTTGGTTAGACCACACCTGGAATATTGTGTCCAATTCTGGGCACCACAATTGAAGAGAGATATTGACAAGCTGGAATGTGTCCATAGGAGGGTGACTAAAATGATCAAGGGTCTGGAGAACAAGCCCTATGAGGAGCGGCTTAAGGAGCTGGGCATGTTTAGCCTGAAGAAGAGAAGGCTGAGAGGAGATATGATAGCCATGTATAAATATGTGAGAGGAAGCCACAGGGAGGAGGGAGCAAGCTTGTTTTCTGCTTCCCTGGAGACTAGGACACGAAACAATGGCTTCAAACTACAAGAGAGGAGTTTCCATCTGAACATGAGGAAGAACTTCCTGACTGTGAGAGCCGTTCAGCAGTGGAACTCTCTGCCCCGGAGTGTGGTGGAGGCTCCTTCTTTGGAAGCTTTTAAACAGAGGCTGGATGGCCATCTGTCAGGGGTGATTTGAATGCAATATTCCTGCTTCTTGGCAGGGGGTTGAACTAGATGGCCCATGAGGTCTCTTCCAACTCTTTGATTCTATGATTCTATGAGAGGGCACTACTATCAAAGAAATTTCACACTTGTATTACAAGCCACTACATTTGTAATGGTGACGGAGCAAAAGGCGAGTGATTGCAATGAGTAGGCACAATCTCATGAGCATTACTAATGTAATTTCCTTAGTCAATGCCAAAATACAGCATCAGTGTGGTAGGCCGGTTCCATTTTTTGCTACGTCAAGTGTCTTCGAGATGAACTGATTTCACACAACTATTTACGTTAAAAGAAACTATACACACCACTAATATGGTAGTTTTTCAGTATATTTTCCTCCAATCTTGAAATATTGGGAAACGGGAATGGTACGGGTATGATTTAGTAATAAAGTGATTTGTCACTAGGCTTTCTCCTGTACGGATTAAGGCAAGAAACATTTTAATTTCAGCAGTATCAAATCTGGGATGCATACTAGAAAAGCTGGTAATATTTATCCACAAATCATGGCTATAATCCTATTCAGGGATTCACTTCTGGGATAGTGTCAGCTGAGGTTTGATTCCAGAACCAAAACACATTGATCTTAGGTCTCATTACACTATGTAATACAATTTGGAAAAAAAATCTGTTCCTGGTTTGAAAGTGTTATTTCCTGTTTAATTATGCCGTACTTACTTTGCAAGTAGTTGTTATTCTCCAGAAACTTGGTTTTTGTGGCCACCACAAAGTATGTTGAAGTGGCTGAGACTCTGAGGCCCTTTCCACACTGCCCCTATATCCCAGGATCTGATCCCAGATTATCTGCTTATCCCAGATTATCTGGCAGTGGAGACTCATATAAACCAGTTTAAAGCAAAATGCGCTGCAGGATGTCCCGCAAAAAAAAAAAGTTTTTGCAGTTTAACAGACTTTTTCCATGTTTTTATTATAGAACCAATTAGAAAATGACATTTATAACCCAGGAACAAAAATCATGTTACATAGTGTTATATACAATTATGCCCCTTATAAAAATGGCAATAATAGAGTGTAGGTTTAAAACGTCCTGTGATTATTCTCTAAATAATTTTAGAGTTGTAAAAGAAAGAAGTTGGCTCATAGTCAGGGGCGGTTCAACGCATTACGCAAAGTAAGCATTTGCAGTATAGTTGATTTTGCCCAGGGGCGCTCTTGAGGCGCTCTTGAGGGGAAATAGAGCTTGACATATGCGAGTTGTAGTTACTAGGATGTATAGTTCACCTACAATCAAAGAGCATTCTGAACTCCACCAATGATGGAATTGAACCAAATATGGCACACACAACTCCCACGACGAACAGAAAATATATGTCAGTGATTGGGGGGGGGGGGCAAAATACTGTTTGCTTACCATTGAAAATTACCTACCTCTGCTGATAGTTATATTTCTCAGTCATTTCTCCCCCAAGCAGTTCATTTTTCTGTTTTATTGTCTAATGTCTGAAATGTCCAATTTCAGTTCTGCAAACACAGCCATTTTAGCCCTTGCTGCAAATGCATCAAAACTTCTGTGTGGTAATGAGACCAGGATACCAAGATAATGCGTGTTAGGCTCATATCCATGGCCTCCTCTTTCTGTAACCAGTTCTGTGCTTATTACATAATAAGTATACCAGAAACAAAGACCTCATCTCCTAATGTCATCTATTCCTCTTCCCTTGCCCAGAACCTACCTACATCTCAGACCAGAGCCTACCCTGTGTTTGAGGTGCCTCTGCCGTCCCCCACCTTGAAGCAGAGAGGGTCAGAAGCACGCATCATCCGTGTCAGTATGGACAATGAGCATGGCAATGGCAACCTTTATCGCAGCATTGTGGTGAGTTTATAAGTTGGATTGAGAGGAAGGGAGCACAAGGTTTGGGGTGCAGATTTAGTTAAGACATGCGCGGAACAGAATTTGGAAGAGGGGAGAATTGCAGTTTTTCTCCCAACCTCTGCAGAAAAACTTGCCACCTGCTCCGATAACCAGGAGTTCACTGTAATCAAAGAAGGGCGACTGGAGCAGTCCTCATTATGGACGTTGTCACGGCCATCTTTGAATTGTCGTACCCACTTACACACTTTGCTTTCACTCATAACAGTATCACCGTACACTTCACAAATCTGTCGATGAATTTCTGCAGCAGGCAGGTTCCTTGCTGACAAAAACCGCATCACTGAGCGAACCTCACATGCGGCGGGTGAGTTGATAGTCTTAAACATTTTTAAAGCACAGAACAGAACCGTACAGGTTAGCTACAGAGCGGAAACGGAGCACAGTTGTTCCCGAGGCATGCCGGTACACAACGTACGCGCTCGTTGCGGTATGCGCGTGAACTACTAGTGTCTACAACAAAACGGACCTTACTTAAAAAATACCCCTCGTAATAATAATCTTTCTTACCTGTCTCTCATTACTAAAACACATAATCAAAACACAAGATCCTTTAAAATGACTCTGTAAAATCATGAATGCTTGTTCTGTAGAAGTGAGGGGGACAACTGTAGTTGCCTTATTTGGTCCCACGAATGTGTTTGACACTGGATTGCTCCACTGCCATAACTCTAAATTGTTTCCACAGATCACCAGCCAAGACAAGACCACAGCTGTAGTTCAGCGTGCCTTGCAGAAGCACAACCTAGAAGGGGACACCCCAGGCGACTACCAACTCCTACAGCTTTTAGAAGATGGCCAAGGTGAGAAAAAGGGACATGGGCTCAGAGTGGTGGTGAAGATGTGAAAGCAATGCCAGGAGTCCTCACATCTTTCTTTCTCTTTCTCTTTTTCATCATAAGAACTGCTGATTCCTGGTGGGTCCAATGTTTTCTACGCCATGAATCCTACTGGTCCTCATGACTTCCTCCTGTGCCGCAAGAAAGGAGCCACCAAAGCCCGAGTCTTAGGGGTTGTACAGGCTAGTCACAAAACTGCCCCCCAACGTGCAGTTTCTCTCAAGGACTGTGGCACCAAGATGCTCTCCAGCACTTCATGCCCCACCTCTTTTTCCAGTACCCCAAACCTTGCATCTCCTAGCCCAGAAAGGCGCTACCCATCACTCCTTGGTTTGGACCCAGAGTTCAGGCCAAATCTCCTGGCACCCTCATTTCCACCCTCCCCCTCTTGGTCCTTGGGAATCCAGGCTCAAAGTGTCCCCTTGGAGTCTCCACTTCCTTCTCCGACCCTGACTCATTTAGAAACAATGGGATCCTTCAGGCCGGCCCTGCCTAACATAGTTCTACCTTCTTCATTGCAGAACCCAGAAGCCTCTGCTCCTCTGCCCCAATCACCCCCTCACTACTCCTCGGAGCCCTGCTTTTGGTCAAAGTCCTCTAAACAGAAGGTTGTCCATCACCTGTCAGCTCCTTAATCTCTTAAGAGCTCAGACACGAGGCCACAGGACAGAGAAGTAAACCCCCAGGGGTGGAATTGATATATCTGCTAGAGAGAAAAATAATATTTCAAATATATATTCAAAACATGGTTGAAAATGTGTTTTTTGAGTGCAGAAAAACCTTGGGCTGATGAGAATCTTTGTGGTTTAGGAGATATTATGCTCATACATCCCACAAGGGAAAGGTGAGAGGGGAAACCAAATTTGGTTGTTGTAGGTTTTTTGGGCTGTATGGCCATGCCCTTGAAGTATTCTCTCCTGACATTTCACCTGCATCTATGGCAGGCATCCTCAGAGGTTGTGAGATGCAGGCGAAACGTCAGGAGAGAATACTTCAAGAACATGGCCATACAGCCCGAAAAACCTACAACAAGCCAATGACTTCAGCCATGAAAGCCTTCGACAATACATGGAAACCAAGTTCTTCCTATCTTTTTCCCCAAACTAAAATGATTACTATGTAGTTGTAAACATACAAAAAACAGCCTTAAAAGACAACCATATTAGTAGAGATGATAAAGAGGCTGACTACCCACGAAGGATTACTACTACCACATCAGGTCTGGATTGTTTTCTATGGGCGAGCAGATGGCAACTCCAGGAAGGCATATGTTCTGTAGCAGGAACTAGAGCTGATGTGGTCTATCCAATGCAATCTTCTGAATGAGCACCCCAAATGACCAAACCAAATCTAAAGATGACCAAAAACTAATTTGTAACTCTTTTGGTACTAATGTTGGAGAGTGGTCCCTGGTCAAGTGGTCCCTGGTCTTGAAAAAAGGTTGGGAACCACTACACTAAATGCTGGATTATGTAGTCCAAAAGACAACACCAACCACCAAGGCTGGAAAGACTGAAGGGGCTACAGAGCATCAGTGTGGTCTCAAGGAAGTGGAAAACCTCTTAGGCCCCATCTACCCTACCATATAATACAGTTTGAACTGCATTATATGGTCAGCGTAGTCTCACATTTTGCAGATTGAAATGCATTGATTTTCATTATATGAGTCTGCTCTCCTATATAATCCACTTCAATGCAATTAATCTGCATTCTGAAATTGCGTTATAGGGCAATGTAGATAGGGCATTAGCCTTTTACCCTGCAGCATTTGCAAGTATGGTGAAGGACTGATGGATATACACAAGGCTATAAAGGAATAGCCTGTAGACAGTCCACGTCTCGCAGGCGTATAGCAGGGTTGGGAGGACAATAGCTTTATAAACAAGCACCTTGGTATCCCTACATTCTCTACTTCATTCGGAAAAAGTCTACAGACATCACATGCAACTCCTGAAACGATTCCATCAATGCTGCCTCCGGAAAATCCTGCAAATCTCTTGGGAAGACAGGCGGACAAACGTCAGCGTGCTGGAAGAAGCAAAGACCACCAGCCTTGAAGTGATGGTTCTCTGCCATCAGGTCCGCTGGACCGGCCATGTTGCCAGGTTGCCCGATCACCGTCTCCCAAAGCAGTTGCTCTACTCCGAACTCAAGAATGGAAAATGGAATGTTGCAGGGCAGGAAAAGAGATTTAAAGATTTAGAGATTCAAAGCCAACCTTAAAAACTGGCATAGACATACAACACCGCCTGAGCTCTGCGAGTGCAGCATTTTTCCAAATGAAGCAGAGAGTGTTTGAGGACCGGGACATCTGTAGGGATACCAAGGTGCTTGTTTATAAAGCTATTGTCCTCCCAACCCTGCTATACGCCTTCAAGACATGGACTGTCTACAGACGTCACATGCAACTCCTGGAACAATTCCATCAGCGCTGCCTCCAGAAAATCCTGCAAATCTCTTGGGAAGACAGGCGGACAAATGTCAGCGTGCTGGAAAAAGCACGCTGATGGTCCTTTGCCATCAATTCCGCTGGACCGGCCACATTGTCCGGATGCCCGACCACCGTTTCCCAAAGCAGTTGCTCTACTCCAAACTCAAGAATGGAAAACGGAATGTAGGTGGGCAGGAAAAGAGATTTAAAGTTGGGCTCACAGCCAACCTTAAAAACTCTGGCATGGACACTGAGAACTGAGAAGCCCTGGCCCTTGAGTGCTCCAGCTGGAGGTCAGCTGTGACCAGCAGTGCTGCAGAATTTGAAGAGGCACAAATGGAGGGTGAAAGAGAGAAATGTGCCAAGAGGAAGGTGCGTCAAGCCAACCCCAACCGGGACCGCCTTCCACCTGGAAACCAATGCCCTCACTGCGGGAGAAGATGCAGATCAAGAATAGGGCTCCACAGTCACCTACGGACCCACCAGAATACTGATCCTGGAAGACTATCCTACTCGTCCAACGAGGGAACGCCTAAATAAGTAATGGGAATAGCTCTGTAGGCTGAGGTCATCAGCAAATGAAATAGTTTTCCAGTACTAAAGGATTCATTCTCCACCTATTCACAGATTACTTTCTTAGATGAATGTACATAGGGGGAATCATGAGCAGGAATGTGAAATGCACTGGCAATGATAATAACCTTAACAGTGGCCCTACCTAAACAGTCTTTATCAGAGATAACATGCACATTATTTTGCTGGTTGGCTGATAAATACATGTAGCTGATTTTAAAAACCCTTAGAAATCAACTGCATGTTGTTATTGACACCCTTTGTTCACACCACAGACAATAGAATGAATGATAGCTCAGCAATTTAGGGCTGAATGATTTCTGGTTTTGAGGTTCCTTTTCTCAAGGAACTTCACTCTGAGATCAGAGACAGTGTGTCCTGGTTAATGAAGTCTTCTCACCGTTGGTTTTTTTTTTTACCACTGAAAGATCTTATTTGTGTCCATATTTTCTTTCGGGTAGAGACTCTCTCTTTGTATCAAATGAAGTAGAACCTTACAGACAATTGATGGAAGATGAGTATGTCTATGAACCCCTGAAACTGTGGATGACATTATTTAATCCTGTAACAGTGCCGCTGGAAATAATATCGCAACCAGAGTTGGTATCTGGGTTGTGTATACCACTCTGGCAACTTGAGGCATTTAACTGGTACTACATGTATCTAAATATTGTAATAATAAACATTTTAGTCTATGAAATGTCATGTTTGTTTGGCTTTGTTTTCCCACTTTATATATGTGTGTGTGTGTGTGTGTATGTATATGTATTTTTGTACTATGTTAATAATATATTGTATGTATATATACCTTGTAAGCTGCTCTGAGTCCCCTTCGGGGTGAGAAGGGTGGCATATAAATGTCGTAAATAAATAAATAAATGTATGCCAAATGGGGAAGAATACTGTTACAATCTTATAGCATTGAAGACATGCCAGCCAGGCATTAGAGTTACATTTTCAAATTTCCTACTATTTTGATTTCAAATGCAGATGGACCAGGTTGCCACCCTCCATATATTGTAATAATAATAATAATAATAATAATAATAATAATAATAAACCTTATTTGTATCTCACCCTATCTCCCCGATGAGGACTCAGTGCGGCTAACAACATATAATGGCAATATACAATGCCGAATAATACAACCAGCCCATTGGTCAGTGTTTCTCAACCTTGGGGTCGGGACCCCTGGGGGGGGGGGGCGCAAGGGGGTGTCAGAGGGGTCGCCAAAGACCATCATGGGGGTTCTGTTTGGGAATGTTTGCCCCAATTCTGTTTGTGGGATTTAGAATGCTCTTTGATTATAGGTGAACTATAAATACCAGCAAATACAACTTCCAAATGTCAAGTCTATTTTCCCCAAACTCCACCAGTGTTCACATTTGGGCATATTGAGTATTCTTGCCAAGTTTGGTCTAAATCATCATTGTTTGAGTCCACAGTGCTCTCTGGATGTAGGTGAACTACAACTCCAAAACTCAAGGTCAATGCCCACCAAACCCTTCCAGTATTTTCTGTTGGTCATGGGAGTTCTGTGTACCAAGTTTGGTTCCATTCCATCATTGCTGGAGTTCAGAATGTATTGTAGGTAACTATAAATCCCAGCAACTACAACTCAAATGACAAAATCAATTTCCCCCCAGCCAGAAGCGGCCCTAGGCAATTTTCAATGGTAAGCAAACATTGTTTCCCCCCCCCCCCAACCAATCACTGATATATATTTTCTGTTCGTCGTGGGAGTTCTGTGTGCCATATTTGGTTCAATTCCATCATTGGTGGAGTTCAGAATGCTCTTTGATTGTAGGTGAACTATACATCCCAGTAACTACAACTCGCATATGTCAAGGTCTATTTTCCCCCCACTCCCTGGATTCGAACTTGTGACCTTTCGGTCAACAAGTTTAGCAGCTCAGCGGTTTAACCCATTGTGACACCAGGGGCTCCCTAACCAGCCAATAAACAAGATATTAAAAAATAACAAACAACAATAATAAACAACAATACAAAATAACAAACAATAATAATAAACAATAAATTTAAAAATAGCACAGTAAGCTTAAACATTACCACCAAATTAACCAAACACTATAATTACAATTTAACTCAATGAATATAACGAAAATAAAAAGTTTTGAAATTAGTAAAAAAAAATTGAAAAACATTAAAAAATTCAAAGAATACTTCCAACACCCCTAGTCTTGATAACACTATATGTGAAACAAACTTACAAATATTTGAAAAAACTTCTGTTCCTGGTTTGAAAGTCTTATTTCCTGTCCAATTGTGCAGTACTTACTGAGAAAGTAGTCATATTCCAGAGACTTCATTATTGTGGCTGCTACAAACTATGCTGCATTGGTTGAGACTCTCTGAGATATTCCTTGAAAAACGATAGCAAAATGTCCTGCAAAACAACTTTTTTTTGCAGTTGAAAAAAATTGTTTTACAGGAAATTTTGTTATGATATGTTGTTATCAGGGGCGGCTCGTCCATTACATGAAGTAAGCAGTCGCAGAACACTTTTTTTTGCCAGGGGCGCAGAGGCGCCTCTGTAAATGCCCCTCGACCGCCACTTGAGGAGCGCCCCCTCAGCTCACAACAGCCCTAGCAGTCCGGGGGGAGCCTCTACGGCTTTCTTGCCTCGCTGCCGGGCAATCCTCTTCCCAAAGGGGCCGGGCCCTTGAGCCTCACCTAGCCCCTCTCGTTCCTGCTCCCCGGCCACTGGGTGTGCAAGCAGAGTCGGCGCTCAATCATTCTCTGCGTTCGATCCCTTCCCCATGACTGGCTCCCTTTCCCGATCCCCCGGCGCTCCACCTGCCTCCTCTCTTCTCCCCAATCCGCAGGTGGGCCAAGGGGCAGAGCCAGAGGCGTGTCTGAAGACCCCAGCGTGCGCACCAAAAGTCGCCTCTTCTCCTGACTTTCTCTTCAGCCATTGGGACCA